CGGCGTTCAGACATTAAGATATTATGACAACGAGGCATTACGACATCAAGGCATTAAGACACTAAGACATTAGTACATCAATACATTCTTACGTTGAGACATTACGGCGTGACTCCATCAATACACGACGACATGATGCATCTAGGCATGCATACATCAACAAATTAAGGCCTTGAGGCATTGAGCATTAAGACGTTAAAGCGTTACGACATCATACAATTCATACATTAAGACATTAATGCATTATTGCCTTAATGCGTTTAACTATTAATGCAGTAGTGCCTCAAGGCATGAAGGTCACCATGCATTCAGAGACGTTAAGCTATTCAGACATTGAGACACTCAGACATTCAGACCTTAAGCCATCACGACACTAACACATTACGACGCTCAGACATTAAGTCATTAAGACTGCAAGGCATTAAGGCATTAATGCGTTGAGTTATGAATGCGATAATGCATTAAGACAGTAAGACATTAAGTCATTAAGACAGTGGTGTTCTGGCACGGTTCAGGATTCTCAGACGGTTGTTTTCCAACGGAGCATTGCCGTCAGTGAACACACTTCCGTGCAAGAATGTGTAACAAAGAATCGTGGAGGGAGGGTTTACTGCACCATCGCTGGTGAGTCTTAGGTATGCACTGGTCCTCCTCCTCGTCCTCCTCCACTGTGTTTCGTCTGGCCCACCAAGAGAGTAAGGTCTATTGGGTCCCCCTGTGTTTGGCAACCTCGATCTCGTCAGCTCGTGCTGCCTTGCAGGCTGTGGAATTGGCCCTCGGCGGTACTGGTCGACGGCGGCAGCGGCGGCGGTGATGACGTGACGTGCCCTCCCCGCCCCCCTTTTGCGCTCCAGCTTATTCGTCCTCCTCCCGAAGGGGGGGCCAATGGCGCCCCCCACCCCCTATTGTTGTTCGTCCTCTCTTGGCCTCCTGGAGGCTCCTCGTCGCCACGGCTGGGTCCGCCGCGAAGAACGAACGGGTCGGGCCTGGGGATTGATTTTGATCGGATTAGGGCTTGGCGGCTGCGGCCATTTCCTCCTCCTCCTCCTCCGATATTTCCGCCATGCAGCAACGGGGTACTGAGTGAAATTGGTCCTAAGTTCAGTCGCCAGTTTCAGGCTCTGCGGGTCCTCCGCGGGCCCCGTGACTGTCAAACAACTGTTCAGGACGAGTGAGTAGTCCCAGGGGGAGGCCATGGGGACCAGGACCAGGGCCCGTTTCACTCCTGGCCCGTCTCGTTCATGGTATTGTTTTTGTTGCTTATCCTCTTTCCTCCTCGCCCTCCTCTGCTTCCACCCCTCCCCCCACCCCTCACTCTTGTGATGCTTTCAAGTGAAGGTGCGGGACTGTCAAAGTCTTTGTGGCTAGCCGCAGTCCATCTCGCAAAGGCTCTTGATTGTGATTCCCACGATGCTGTCTGAGTGGCATTGCGCGCAGCACGCGCCTGAACAGTATATCGAGGTACTTGCACGCCAGTTTACAGCGCACACCGACCGACAGGAGGCCGATTGTACAAGCTGCGCACACAAGCAGGACCGCGGTACTGGGCAGGGAGACCCGCTCAGCCCAGCATCATTCAATGCAGCTCGAGCACGTGATGTCATCTGGCGGCTGGAGTCGGAGTGGCGCCAGGCCATGGCCGTATCGGCGCGCGAACAGACCGAGGGTTCTCTGGCGTACGTCAAGCGCATGCTGAACGAATTGCACAGGTGTGGAGGACTTGTTTAAACTGTCACATGGGCAAGACTAACATCTTTTGGCGAATGCGGAGTGCCGCCGCCAACCAGGCACGAGGCGAACCTCCAGCACACTTATTCGGTTGCTACGTAAGTGAGAAAATGAGAGCCTTACTTGCAAACGCTGCTCGGGGAATCACGACCGAATTTCAAGCATCCGACTACAGATGCCAGCCAGGAGCGTGTAGCCAAGCTCGTAGATGGTTGTCTTCGGATGTGGGTTACCCCGGGCGATTTCTCTCTTGCGGGCATGCCGCCAGCGAAGCTTTCTAAGGGCTACCGCAGTACATCTGCACCGACCAGGACTAATCAGCGCGAGACAAGCACCACGTGCGAGGCGATGCTGTTGCCCGGGGCCGTCTTGGGGCTCTCTTGGGCCTCTCTTGGGGCTCTCAGGGGCTCTCTTGGAGCTGTCTTCAGGCCTCGGAAGGCCATCGGAAGCGAAAAGGCGAGAAGGCAACAATCATGAACGTCCCCTAAGTTGTTGCAGGATTTGGGCCTCTTGGCGGCCTCCAGGGCAGGCCCCGTTGCCACTTGGAGCCCGCTTGGAGTGGTCTTGGGGCTTCTTGGAGCATTTTGGGAGCCATGTTGACCCATCTTGGGCTATCTTGGGCCGTCTTGGAACTGAGGCCCTCTTGGAACAACTTGGGTCATCTTAGATGCTCCGTCCACTCGCGTGGCACCCCGTCCAGGTCCAGGGGAGGGGGTAGGGGGAGGGGTCAAGCTACCCACCCGCCCGCAAGCCGTCTCGCTCACTCCCACCCGCCCTCCCAACACATAAAAGTAACACCCGAGTCTGGCCCGAGCCTCAGCATATTCAGCAGTCGTCTTTGGATGGGCAGCTACTGGGGGCCAATCCGTCGCCGCCGCCGCCTTCGCCGTCGCCGTCGCCGCCGTCGTCGCCGTCCCCCGCTGTCAAAACGCCGCCGCAGCCGCTGCCGCCACCGCCGCCGCCGCCGCCGCAGCCGCAGCCGCCGCCGCCGCCGCCGCCCCCGCCGCCGCCGCCGCCGCCGCAGCCGCCGCAACCGCCGCCGACGCCGCCGCCGCAGCCGCCGCAGCCGCCGCCGCCGCCAAGTGTACTCTGTATTTTTTTTTGACAGGGATGGTGGGGGGGGGCCGCATCGGGTTGGCTGCGCATGTTCCGAATTTGGAGGCAGAGTGTGTTTTGTATTGTTTTTTGCAAGGGATGGTGGGGGGGGTGTTGTCATGGACTCGGGTTGGCCCCCAGTCGCCTGGGGGAGGGTGTGTCTATCAATAGGGAACAGTGATCAAGCTACCCACCCGCCCGCAAGCTTTCTAGCTCACTCCCACCCGCCCTCCCAACACATAAAAGTAACACCCGAGCCTGAGCATGTTCAGAAGTCGTCTTTGGATGGACAGCTACTGGGAACCAAAGTTACCCCAGATGCGCGACGCTTGGGTGAGGTGCGCCACGCGTGCGAGGGGCGCCACGCGCGCCAGGCACCCCTGGGGCCCGAGCGTGCCAGGGGCGCCACGTGCTCCGACTGCGCCAGGTGTGCCGCACTCTTCAGCCGCGCCAGGTGCGCCACGTTCGGGGTACGTGCAGAGTGCGTCAGGTGCGCCTGCGCACATGACAGAACATATTGGGAAATTCGAACCACTGCCCATCATTGTGTCTGGTGTGCCTGCGCGCAGCAGGCCACGCGCCACCACCCCCGCCGTCTTGTCAAAAACCACTTAATAGTGATCGCGGGATGGCCGCGCATGATCCAGATTAAGCCGCGAGGTGCATGTCGTATTGTTTTTTGTCAGGCATGGTAGCCCTGCGCACGGCAGGCAATATGCTGACACCCCCGCCGTCCCTGTCGAAAACAATACAAAGTGCTCGCGGGCCTCACGAACATGACTCAGCCCCATATGTAATTTGCATTGTTTTTGACAGGGATGGTGGGGGGCCGGATCGGCTTGGCCACGCATGCTCCAACTGTGGAGGCAGAGTGCGGCTTGTATTGTTTTTGACAGGGATGGTGGGAGGCGGGCACGCATGGAGTCGGCATGGTTCCGAGTTGGCCGCCGGCCGGGTGGGGGAGGGGGTGCATATTAATATTGAACAGTGATCAAGAAACCCTTCTGGATAGCAAGCCGTCTAGCTCACTCCGACCCGCCCTCGCAACACATAAGTAACACCCGAGCCTGAGCATGTTCAGCGGTCGTCTTTGGATGGGCAGCTACTGGGAAAGGGAACCGACCCCATGTGCACGACGCTTGGGCGAGGTGCGCCACGCGTGCCAGGCGCGCCACGCGCGCCTGGCACCCCTGGGGCCCGAGCGTGTTAGGCACGCCTGGTGCGCCCGATGCGCCACGTGCGTCGCGTGCGCCAGGTGTGCCGCATATTCCGGCCGCGCCAGGTGCGCCACTTTCGGGGCACGTTCAGAGTGTGTCAGGAGGGGGAAGAACACACAGACATAATTAATCGTCGACTCCCAGGACAATGTGGGAAACTATGGGAAGTGGGGGGGGGAAGACGAAAACACAGGAAATTTAGAAAAAATATCGGAAATCCTGTTAGTTGTGTCTATTTATTTGTGTGTCCCAGGGCCCCTTCAGTGTGTCAGGTGCGCCTGCGCACGTGACAGCACACCTCGGGACACATGTCGGCCGCAACCGTCTTTGTCGAAAACCAAGGCCCATCATTGTGTTTTGTGGCCCTGCGCACAGCAGGCCATACGCCACCACCTTCGCCGTCCCTGTTAAAAGCCACTTGACAGTGATCGCGGGGTGGCCGCGCATGATCCAGATTTAGCCGCGAGGCGCATGTAGGGATGGTAGCCCTGCGCACAGCAGGCAATATGCTTGCGGGCCTCACGAACATGCCTCAAGACTTTGTCCCAAAGTGTACTTTGTATTGTTTTTGACAGGGATGGTGGGGGGGACCGCATCGGATTGGCCGCGCATGCTCCACATGTGGAGGCAGAGAGCGTTTTGTATGGTTTTTTGACGGGGATGGTGGGCGCGGGGTGAGCATGGTGCCCTCATTGTTCCTGGTTGGCTGCCGGTCGCCTGGGGGAGGGGGTGTATATTAATAGGGAATGCTGATAAACCCCTCCTCGAAGGGGAAGAAGTGGGTTGGAAGAGCTCCCTAGACCACCTGCGCCCAGCGGGCTGGTGGGATTCATTATAATAATTGCCTCGTCGTCCGGAGACTCATTTTCGGCGCGAGACACTCTCAGGAGCTGTGGTCGCGGAAAAACCTTCTCCTTCACCGCCTCCTTCTCCTCTTTTGTTCTCTCGCTCAGCCTGCAGGCACCAGCGGCTGCGACCTCTTGCGGCGAGATGTGCTCGCCTTTCGCGACAGGCGTTCGGAGAGATGGCGAGGATGAGGAGGAAGAGGAGGAGGAAGAGGAGGTGGAGGATGAAGATGCTGTTGTTGCTGTTGATAATGTTGATGATGGTAATGATGATGATGATGATGATGATGATGATGATGATGATGATGATGATGATGATGATGATGATGATGATGATGATTACGACGACGCTGATTATGATGCTGAACATGATGATGGTGCTGATGTTGATGATGCTACTGATGATGATGATGACGATGAATGATGATGACGATTATGATGCTGAGGATGATAATGCTGGTGATGATGCTGCTGATGATACTGATAATGATGCTGCTGATGATGTTTATGTATAGTGATGGTGAGGATGCTGATAATGATGATGATGATGATGATGATGATGATCATGATGATCATGATGGTGGTGATGATAATGGTGGTGATGATGGTGATGCTGATGTTGATGCTGATGATGAGTCTGACTATGATAATGATGATGATGATGATGATGATGATGATGATGATGATGATGATGATGATGATGATGATCATGATGATCATGATGGTGGTGATGATAATGGTGGTGATGATGGTGATGATGATGATGATGATAATGATGATGATGATGGTGATGATGATGATGATGATGATGACCATGATAGTGGTGAGGTGGTGTGCAGCTGCTGCTGATGATGACGATGATGGGGAGGAGTAGGAGGAGGACGAGGACGAGGACGAGGACGAGGAGGAGGAAGAAACGCAGGTGGAGCAGAAGGGGGTACAGAGCGCTTATTTCTGCTTCGGTGTAGTTGCAATTCCCGGCTGGGTCCTTTAGCGGGTCTCATTTGTAATTCGTCAGCGGAATTAGACATGAGCAGTGCTCAAAGGTTGAACTACTCGAGCCTGGGCGCGAAGATACCTCCGTCGGCATTCCAGTAGACGCACGGGTGATGGGATGGGGGCAGGATGACGACGTCAGCGACGCCAACGATGATAGTGACCAAACGCTGGTCGCCCATCGCAGACCACGTCCCAAGGTGCAAGTCCTGCTGCGCTCTCCTTTCCTGCGTTGCAGGGGTGGTCGTCGGAGGGGCATCCTTGGCATAACCATTTGATACCTTCGTCGACCGGCGGCCCGTCAGGCCAGGGGCCTCAGGGGGAGAGGGGGGCCGGGTGAGAGTCAGGGGCTTTTCTGCGAAAATTGGGAGGCATCAGATATGGCCCGAGCCCAGATCGCGGCATTAGTTTTTGATGCCGGGGCCGATCGCGGCATCAGATTTTGATGCGGGGGCCGATGGGGGCATCAGAGTTTGGTGCGGGGGGGGGGCGTGCGCTTCAGCGAGAGCCGAGGGGGGTGGACTTCGGTTTCGGGTGCGAAGTGTCAGATTTTGGTGCCAGTCTGTGCGGCGACCCAGCGCCATCGCAGGCCGATGCCGTGCCCCAGCGGTCTGTCGCTGTCGCTGTAGTCATTGCCGTCGCTGTCATTCGTGACTGTGTTGTCGTCCTCCAGGGGCGCCCCATGCAGACGTGGCGCACCTGCCGCGCTCGCAGCTCCTGGCGCGCCTGGCGCACCAGGCGCACCTTTCCTTGTTTGCGCGCCAGGCGCATCAGGATCACTCGGCGAATCTGGCGTCCCCTGGAACGTTGGCGCATCTGGCAGGCTTGGCGCACGGCGCGCCTGGGGCGTCAAGTTCCTGGGAGTGGGAGGGCACCTGCGCACAGGGCCCGCGCGCCGCCTTCCTCCCCCTCCCCCGTACGCGTAGCACGAGGGGGCGCGGCATCACAATTTGATGCGGGGGTGCCTGGCCGCGTCTCCGAGCGTGCCCAGGGGGGCGCTCTGCTAGGGGTCAGGCCTTTTCGAGAGGGCGTGGCTTCGGGGCCTCCCTGAGCCGCCAGGGATGGGCGGTAGGGTAGGGACGGCCCGCGACGGAGAGGGGTCAAAAGTTCTCCCTGCGGCTGGGGCGCGGCATCAGAAATTGATGGCGGCTCGTCACGGCGCGGGGGCGCGGCATCATAATTCGACGCTGGCTCGCCGCGCCGCGGGGGCGCGGCGTCTCAATTTGGTGCGGGGGCTGCCTGGCCACGTCCCTCCGCGCGCCTTGGAGGGCTCTCTGACAGGGGCTGGGGCCTCTCCAGAGGGCGAGCCCAGGGGATCCTCCCAGGCCGCCCGGGAGGAGCTGCGGGCGGCTCGCCCCAGAGAGGGGTCAGAGGCTTCCCTTGCGACAGCGGCGGGGGCGCTGCATCAGAATCTTATTCGGGCTCGCCGCGCCACGCCTCCTGGCGAATCCATGGCAGGGAGGTTGGCGTCGAATCGTGATGCCTCAAGGCGGCTCAAGGTTGAGGTGGCCTTCAGGAGCCCCAATCAACGATTTCCATGCTTCTCAAGGTTTCTGGCGTTCCCGACTTCAGGCTTGCGCAACACATAGTGGGCAAACGGACGACCTAGCAAGTAAGCGAACAGGTCGTAAGCACCTCGCATTTGCAGCTCGCAGGAGGAATTTGCACAGCGGAATTACAAATGAGCGGAAGTATAATCAAGTCTGTTGCAGGAAAAGGAGGAGGAGGAGGAGGAGGAGGAGGAGGAGGAGGAGGAGGAGCGGGAGGACAACGAGGGGGGCGAGGAGAGGGGGGGAGGAGGAGGAGGAGGAGGAGGAGGAGGAGGAGGAGGAGGAGGAGGAGGAGGGGGAGGAGGAGGAGCAGGAGGAGGAGGAGGAGAAGGAAACCAGACGCTGCGCCTCCGCCAGGCAGTGCCAGTAATGCACAAACATGGTGATGGTGATGGTCATGATCATGATCGTGATGAGGATGGTGATGCTGATGCTGATGCTGATGCTGATGATCATGATGGCGATGGTGGGCTGCTGCTGATGGTGATGATGTTTGTAATGATGTTGCTGATGCGGATGCGGATGAAAATTCGGATCATGCTGATGATGCTGGTGCTGCTACTACTACTGCTGCCGCTGATGCTGACGATGATGATGGTCATGGTGTTGTTAATGATGATGACGATGCTGATGAGAATCAGGGTGATGCTGATCATGTTGCTGATGAGGGTGGTGCTGCTGTCGCTGACGATTATGATGAAACAGGACGATTGTAATGCTGATGGTAATGACGATGCTGACGGTGATGATGCTGCTGCTGATGATGATGACCTGGATGAGGATGATGAGTCTGGCGATGGTTTTATTGTTGTCGTTGTTGAGCTTCCATGTCTGAAGAATACTTATTGTTGTTCCACCCCTCTCCCCTCTGGGGCACACTGAGTTTCTTCAATTGAAGTGCCCTTCCTGGGGCTCGCACCCTGTTCTTTATCAGGGAAACTCTTGGGTCTCAAGAAAGGGTTGTTGGCCCCCGGTTCGCAACAACAGCAGCGGTTCCCGCCTTCTACTTCCTCACAATATATTCCCAGCTCTCGCGCGGGACTTCCTCATTATTTATGCAGGAATCGCGCTCTAGCGCGAGACTGCCTCACAACTTATTAGACGCCGCGCCCTCGACACTCAGGAATCACGCTCTCGCTGTGGATTTCCTTACGATTCATTTGGGAATCGCGCTATCGCTAGAGACTTGCTCGCGATTCATGCAGGACGCACGCTTCAGCAACCTGCCTGCTCGACCTGGCCGCCGTGGCCCTGGGCTCACCACCTCCCCGACCCGCCCATTAGGGTCTATCCGCCCGATCTGGCCGTTTGGTTCTGCCACGTGTTTTCTGATCCTAGCCCCCCTCCTGCTTCTCTCTCTCTCTCTCGTGCTCCATCCTGCTCCTTCCCCTTTGTCCCTCCTCCTATGCGTCCTCTTTTCCCCTGCCTCAGGGCCTGCACGAAATACACGTTGCAGGTAAGACAGCTATATGCCCCCAAGGGGGCACGATCGAAGACGAAGCGAGCGGGTATCGAGGGTTTGGGATATACGTGTTGCATGGTACGCGACCAGATAAGAGTGATCAGTATTGAACTGTTTGCTGGTGTTGTTGTTACTATTGCTGTTGTTGCTGTGGTTAGTAATGCTGCTGCTGTTGCTGCTGCTGTTGTTGTTGAGTGTTGTCGTTGCTGGTGCTGCTGTTGTATGTGTTGGTGTTGTTGGTGGTGTTGTGGTTTGTTATTGATGTTGTTGTCGTCGATGTTGCTGTTGTTGTTGTTGCTGCCGAAGGAATCGCTGTCGTTCTGACTGGTGTTGTTGTTGCTGTCGCTGTTGTTGTTGGTGGTGATTATGGTTGGTTGGTTGGTGTGGCTGGTTGTTGTTCCCCACATGCTTAATGGGGTTATGGTTTTCTTCTCTGCCGCGTCGCACCCGCGTCTCCTCCCACACACAGTTCCCTGTTCCCCCCCTCCTCTTCCTCTGCTTTTCTTCCTCGCCTCACCCGCGCGCAGCACATGCACATGGTCTCAAGGCGTGGCAGGCGTGGCATTGTCTCAACACCTTAGGGGGTGCGCAGGGGGTGGTCCCTCACCGTGGTCACTATCCGTCTCAGGGTCGCGCGGCGTGGCAGGCGTGACACTTTCTCGACACCATGGGGGGTGCGCAGAGGGTGGTCCGCCACCCTGGTCTCTATCCGTCTCAGGGTCGCGCGGCGTGGCAGGCGTGGCACTTTCTCGTCACCGTAGAGGGTGCGCAGGGGTTGGTCCCTCACCGTGGTCTCGATCCGTCTCAGGGTCGCGCGGCGTGGCAGGCGTGGCATTTTCTCCATGCCACAGGGGGTGCGCAGATAGGTGGTCCCTCACGCTGAATTGAATTGCGAACGCCTCGGCTCGAGCAGTTTGAGAACGCTATGTTTTGCACGCTGGCGCATCGGGCGTGAATTGCCTCAGCCATGGCGCCCACATGCGTCATCGCGGCACTGCCGCCACCGTGTTTGAGGCTGAAAAACGGGATGGCAGAAATGGGCGTCGAGCTGGGTCTGGAAGGCTTGCGCAACTGCGTTGGCGAGCACGGGAAAGCCATGTTAATCAATACGATCCATGCGTGCCAGCGTCAGCTCCATAATTGGTGGCCCGCGACGCTCCAGGTCAGGTACAATTTGGTGCCATACCAAGGAAGGAACGACGATAGCAGGAGGCGGTGCTTACTAACGTACATGCTGAACCCTGCGTCGGGCGGGTTCCCCCAAGACGCCCCAGCTGATCAACCGGAGGAGATTGGGAAAGACGGCGGCGGGCCAGCGGCGAAGGTTCGGCGAGCGCACAACGTTGGCAGCGCTGGCGCGGAACCTGCGTGGGTGCAAAAGAAACCGCCACGCCCGCGTTCGACCAGTCCATGGCAGTAGCGCTCTCGCTGGCAGATTTTGCAACGAGAACGCACTGGGGCGCGGCGCCTGCCTCTTCGCTGGGGTTCGCGGAGGCCTTATGCCGAACTCGCCCGCCATTCTTCCCCGCCACTTCGCGCGCGTGCGAGCCCGAGACTCTCTGTCGACAGGCTTCGCCTCGCGCGTAGATCCCCGAGCCGCATTGTTGGGGCGGCCGCATGAGCAGCGCTTGCCCCCGGAGACTGTCTGTTGAAGCGGCGGCGTGCGAACCGTTTCCTGTGCGACGCTTGAAAAATTCAGTTGCCCTGTGGCGTTGTAGTCGTGTCTGTTGGCACGGAGTGTCAGGCCCCTAAAGCTTAAACCGCGCCGCCTTCGATGTCGGCGAAGCAACGGCCACAAGCAACATGCTCGGAAATTCCACGTCATCTGCCATCACGCGAGACACATGATAAGTCTGTGGGCTTCCTCGGTCGCTTAATTTCTGTTGTCGGTGATGTTGGCGAGGATGATGATGAGGATGAGGATGATGGGCAGGACGAGGAGGAGGCGGAGGAGGAGAAGGAGGAGCAGCAGGAGCAGAGGGAGAAGTAGGAGCAGGACCAGCAGGACTCGGGGAGGAGAACCTACCAGGGTCGCCGCCATGTTTCCCCCCTCCCCCCGCCTGTGCGTGGCCGAACCAGGGGCGCGAGGCGGGTTCGAAAGTTTCTCCATCTCGGAGCACATTTTCTTCAAACCTTCACGTGACGCGTGGGCCCAAGCGCGGACCACCAGGGGGAAGCCAGGCAGCCGGGGGCAGCCGAGGCCCGGCCCTTGTTGGCAGACGTGGGCGGACAGCGGGATTCCACTGGACAGACCTGCCTCGGGCCGCCTTGGGCGACCAGGAGACGGACAAAACGAGAACGCGAACATCTTGGGAGAACGTCGAAGCAACAAACGTGCAGGGCTTGGGCGACGGAGCTGGACACCGCGGAGTCACGCAGCATTAGGAGTTTACTCTTCCGCGCCAGCGCCTTCTTTTCACCCGCCCTTTCGGCAGGACAGCCTGCCGGCTCCCTAGCGCAGCTCCATTTCATTCGGCGGCATCGTTGAATCGGAATCTTGTTGCCGTGAAGACAAGCATGCGCAAATTTTACTTCTTGGTGCCTTTTCGAGGCGTCTGGAGAGATTCTGGAGCCGTCTGGAGGCAATCGGGGACTGTCCCCGAGCGTTTCGGAAGCCCTCAGGGCGACCCAGATGCATTCTTGGGCGGTCTGGGCCCCGTCCTGGCCAGGACCTCCAGTAATCCTGGGCCACGTGGGAGCGCTGCCTGGGACCGTCTTCCTGGGCTCTGGTGTGTGTGTGTGTGTGTTGTGTGTGTGTGTGTGTGTGTGTGTGTGTGTGTGTGTGTGTGTGTGTGTGTGTGTGTGTGTGTGTGTGTGTGTCGGCGTGGGGTTGAGGGTCCGCAAATATTTGTGTGGGGGGTTCTGAATATAATTTGAGAAGGTGCAGGCATATTTGAATGAATTCCAAGGCTGGCCGAAGTGCACGGGGGCGTTCGAGATGGACATCTGGCTCCCATATTATCGCGCTTTTCGTGCACAGGAGGGGGAACTGGTGAGTAGGAGGGGAAGGGCGTGGAGTGTGGGGGGTTGGCGGAATGAGGTATGTGCAGGCGTAAGCATGGGCCATCGGCGTGTGGGGCCATCATCTTCCGAGTACTCTTGAGAGGGTCCTGAGCCTTTTGCTGGAATGGCAGTGAGGGGCGAGGCCCTTGGCTGGAATGCTCCCCCTTCCTCTAGTTGGTTTTACCTTGTTCACGAGTCCAAGGGTTCGACCTCGGCCGTCGGTACCTCCTATCCGAAGGCAAGCGGACGCGCTTGCGGACTTGATCCTGCACCTGGGCGATGGCTCAGCGGCGCTGGCCAACGCCGCAGTCGTGGAAGCGCGGTTGCCAGCACTGCTGTCTGCGGTGGACCCAGATGGGCTCGATCATCCGATCGTAGGCGGTCGACTCGACCAGGAGTCTACACATTGCTTGTGTCGGCGTTCCATCTTCTTCCACCACTTACAGGCACCTTGCCCATCGCCACTTGCGCCTCGGCACGCGCTCATGCCTGCACGGTTGTCGCCCCGAAAGGGAAGGGGGAGAAGACAGTGGGGGGACTGAGTGGGTGAAGGGGGGCAGGCGGAGGATATGGGGTTGGTAAGGGGAGGATGAGGAGCAATGGGGGAAGTTGATAGGGGGGGAACGTGACGGAGGAGGAGGAGGAGGAGGAGAGCCGTTGCTCGACTAGGAGGCTTGACCCCCCCGCCCGGCCCTCGACACACGGGCGGGGGGTCACGCAGCAGGCGACAAGCTAAGCGCGGCAATCTCCACAGGGGAGGTACGCCGCGTAACGAACGAGATGCACACCGAAGCCATTTCCCACACGGTTTCGAGGCCTTAGTTTTTGACATGCCATGCTCAGTTGCTTCTTGCTTTAGCGCCCTCTCGCACACCAGGCTCTGAATCACATAATAGCCTTCGCCGTACGAGTGGGCATATTATTTAGTAGTTGCCGCATCTCTATCGATGTTGAGGACATGTCCGCCCTGATTGGTGTAACCTCTCAAGTCAAGACAAACTCAAAAGTCGCCAAACCCTTTGTAAGCCCAGCTCCATCCCCCGCCGCCCGCATACACAGCTTCTTGGCAACCAAACACAAAGGTGCCCCTACCTTTCAGCCACGCCATGTGTTCCCGCACATCGCACCGTGCGTTTCTATTGCTCCATCTTCATCGCCTCCACCGACGCATACGCCACCTGGTCCCGTGTCGGACGCCCAGGGCGCCGAGTCCAAGATGGACCACGAAGAGGGCACCGAGCACGAGGCGGCCACCGAGGAGGGCCAGCTAAAGGCCAACGCCCAGGAGGAGACCGAGCACAACGCCAACAGCCCGACGGACTCCAGACCCTCAGAGACAGGCCACCTCCGCCCTGGCCAACGAGTCCGACTCGTTCGCCCGGTGAACAGGCCCGCCCTGCACGGGTCCGATGGGGCGCTCGGCGAGGTGGACCCTATGACGGGGCGGTTCCCAGTCGACCTAGTCAAAGCCACCGTGTTCGTCAAGGAGGACAAACTCGAACGAATTTGCCGAGCGCTCACAGAAGATCCCATACCAGGAATACCTGCGCGAGGCTCATGTACTAGAATGTTTCAATATATCCGCCAACGACCACGTCTTCGGTCAGCCGCGTTGTATGGCTTCGGCCCGCCGCCACACTTTAACTTTCAATCACATCCACTTCACTTGACTAGTAACCTTGTGCTGTAGTTTTCTGGCGCCTCCCTCCCTTGCCCTCCTCTCCTCTCGTGCCTTCCCCGCTCTGTCGTGGTAGGAAGTTGGGCATTGTTCCTATCATTCGCGGCGTTGCGCTGCTCTCAATCAGATTCGCGCTTTCCCTGTGCTCGTCGTCCGCGGTTGTGTATAGCCTATTGGTGCTTACGGTCGGTCTGACCTTCGTGGTAGCACACGCGCCGCGGCAAGCCACCATCCCTGGCCTCTTTTGTTTTCCGCCGTCTTCCTTCCTCCTTGTTCTCCTCCACCCATGACGCCGATACGCTTCTGGGCAAATTCGTATCGCGCGCAACTGGCGGCTAATACTGCCTCCAGTCACGCACCCGTCTCATGGAGGCTTGATATTGTTCGTTGCGTGGCTGCCCTACGTAGGGAGGGAAACAAATCCCACAACGTTAACCTTTCAGTGTGTTGTGCCTGTGATGAAAGGTCAACGGCTCCACTGGCATTCATGGAGTGCTCGCTTGCGTGGTTGTTCATGGAGTTGGGGCTCTTTTGCGCTGGAAAAATGTCCACAGGTTGTGGGAATGAGGCAACCAGTGTGGTGGCATCGAGCAGTTTTTCGCCGACATGGCTACCATAAAGGCCGTATTCGAGGGCATGTATGCCGCACAGCTGTCATAGCCAGTCATTTGTTTGCACCAGTGGTGAGCTGCCACTGATATGAACATCGGCCGGAGGCTTGGGGTTTGAGTGCCCCCCCCGCTGCCCAGCTACCTTCGTAAGCTAGCTGATTAGCCGCAGACAGGGGCGCAAAGACAACGTTCGTTCCCTGTGTCGCGCGCGAAGACAATCGCGTACCCCCTGTTGGTGCATTTCCAAGAGGCAACGCTCGCGTCACAGCATCGCTTGCCGCCCCCGTCTTCGCGCTCCGGCGATGGGCGTCGCAGCCCCTCCCCCCTCCTCCTCCTTTGATCATGTTTTCCCCCCCGTCGCTTTTCTCCGCCATTCGCCTCTCGCACTGTTGCCAACCGCGCTGCCGTCTGGTGTCCTCTAAGTACCTGAGGAGGAGGAGGTCACATCCGGGTCGGATTCCTGGACGGGGCAACGCCCGCTTGGGGCCCTCTCGCCGAGCAGTCCCCCCCGTCCTCCTGAAGAGTTGCCTGGGCAGCCACGGTGACGGACCCGTCCCCCTCACGCCTTAGGAACCGAAAGTAACAAAAGAGCGGGCCCACTACGTGGGCGGGGGAGCCCTCTTCGCCTGCTGGTCTGCGCGCCTCTATGTCAAGCTGGCACCCTCTCTAGCAGCTTAGGCAGCCCGCCCGCTTCTGTCGACAGGGTGGACGGCATGCTTGCCTCGCTATGCCCAGGCCGGAACATCGAGGCCAACAGAGGCTACGGAACAGGATACGCAGCCATCTGCGCTTTTCTTGTCACGTTTTGCCTGGAGACACTGCCTAACCACGGTCCATGGATCGTCCATCCCACTTCTCCCTCATTTACATCTTACTCTCCTCCTCCCTCTTTCTCCTTCCCGCACGCCGATGGGCCTCCAACTTTATTCCGCCCGTGCAGAGGCGTGCGCGTCGACCGCCGACGCAAGGTAACTACCACCGCGAACCTTCGCAGTCGACCCTTCTGCAGCGCGGTCCCACCACCCTGACGCTGCTTCCGCACAGCCGCCTCAATCGCGTCACCAAGCATCCGGCGAGGGCAGCGGCCTACGAGCCTGCCCGCCGCCTGCCGCGCACAACGGCGCCATCCGTGAAGGGCGCGAAAACTGCGCTCGGCCGTGTGAATCCATGCTCGCGCGACAATTTTCACGCAGATGGCAGCACCGCACCATGCCGCCGACTCTCTAGGTTTTGGGAGGACGTGCAGCAGCACTTTCTACCGAGGCCCTGGCCAGCCCGGGGGCCCCTTCAAGCGCCCCCCCACTCGCTTTTGGAACGTCGGCGGCACGGCTGCCTTGCGTCTGTGCCCCTGTCCGGTTCGGGGGGGCGCTTGACGGGTTCTTTGGGTTGGTCAGGTTCTCTCCCCTCTGTCCTTCCGCCTCTCCTCGTCGTGCCTGCTTCCCTCCCGCTCCTCCTCGCCTCTTTTGCCCCTCCTCCCCTGCATTTTGCCTTCTCGAATCGCCACCTTCCGTCGGTCTCCCTCTCCTGCAGGGGAAGCACCCCCCCCCCTCTTGGTTGGTGTGCCACTCTTCCGACGCTGGTTCAACCCTCGGGGATCGAGCTGGGTGTGGCTGCGTTCGACGAACCCTATAGCCATCAGGAACCAGGAACCCCCCAGGAGAAGGAGGAGCAGCAGGAGGAGGAAGATGATGATGTTGAGGATGATGAGGAGGAGGAGGAGTAGGAGGAGGAGGAGGGGGAGGGGGAGGGGGAGACCAACCAGAAACACCACCATCGAAGAGAGGAGGAGCAAGAAGAGCAGGAGGGGATGAGCAGGGGGGGCTGAGGAGAAGGATGCCGAGGATGGAGGATGTTAATGATGATGATAATGCTGACGATAATGGTGATGAGGATGATGCTGATAATGTGCTGATTGCGATGGTGATGATGATGGCGATGATGACGAAAATGGTTATGCTGATAATGATGACGATGGCGGTGACAATGATGATGGCGACAACGACGATGATGATGCTGAATATGATAGTGATGATGATGAGGAGGAGGAGGATGATACCGTTCACGGTGATACTGATATTGATGATGTTGATGATGATTATGTTGATGATGTTGCTGCTGATGGCGATTGTAATGGTGATGACGATGGTGGTTACGTTCCTGGCGCTGACGAGGGCGCCGATGTTGATGATGCTGCTGCTGCTGATGATGATGCTGATGATGGTGATGATGCTGGCGGTGGTGGTGATGAAGACGATGATGATGATGATGATGATGATGATGATGATGATGATGATGATGATTATGTTGATGATGATGGTGATGATTCTGAGATGGTGATTGTGACGAGGCTGATGATAATGATGATGATGATGATGAGGATGATGATGATGATGGTGGTGTTGGTGCTGGCGGTGGTGATGATACTGCTGCTCACGATGACGATGCTGACGGTTGTGGTGATGCTGATGAGGAGCATTATGTTGTTGTAGCTGTTGCTGATGCTGATGCTGATGATGGCGATGGTGATGGTGATGATGACGGTGCTTCTGGTGGTGATGATGCTGCTGATGATGATGACGCTGATGACGACGATGCTGATGATGACGACGACTACGACAACGATAATGACGATGCTGATGATGGTAACGATGAGGATGAGGACGAGGGTGATCACGATGATGATGATGATGATACTGATGATCAGAATGCTGACGACGATGATGATGATGCTGATGCTGATGCTGCTGCTGATAATGATGATGATGAGGAGGAGGAGGATGAGGATGATGATGATGATTAGGATGATGAGGAGGAGGAGGAGACTGATGACGAGGGATCTGAACGCATGCTTTTCAGGGCGCCACGGTCACTCCCTGGATCGCCCCGGCCTGAAGGGGAGTCGATCGGCGAGGCCCGCCGCCAAGGCCGCGGAGCCGCTCGGGGAGGCTGACGCCGCCCTCGTCGTAGACGAGCACGGCCGCCGTGCAGGCGCCTTCTCCGCCTGTCCCGGCCCCATGGCGGGCCGGACCAGGACCCAGAAGATCCGGTGAGGTGGACGTCTCTGGGCTGCCGTCTGTCGTCGGTCGCTTGCCGGTTGCAGTCTGTCGTCGGTAGCGTCATCGTCGATTGTTGTGAACTGCCGTCGTCCGTCCGTCGTCGTCGTCGTCGTCGTCGTCGTCGTCGTTCGTTTTGCTGCTACTGCTCGTCGTCTGTCGTCTGTTTGTCGTCTGCGTCGTCGTCCGTCCGTCGTCGTCGTCGTCGTCGGCGTCGCCTCCGTCCTCGTCCTCGTCCTCGTCCTCGTCCTCGTCCTCGTCCTCGTCCTCGTCCTCGTCCTCGTCGTCCGTTCTCGTTCTCGCTCTCGTTCTGCTGCTGCTGCTGCTGCTGCTCATTCCCGTAGCCATGGCAACCGCTGGTTTCGCTGACGGCTTGTTTCACCCGACTGGTTTCGCCTGGCTGGTTTCGCCGCCTGGCGAAACCAGCTGCCGTCGGCGCGAAACCAGCTGCCGTCGGCGAAATCAGCGAAACCAGCTACCGTCGGCGAAACTGCCCGATCCGACCTGCCCGCGAGGGTCCGCCCGCCCGACCCGACCCGCCCGTCAGGGTCCGCCCGCCCGACCCGACCCGACCCGCCCGCTCGGGTCCGCCTGCCCGACGACGACGACGACGATGACGACGACGACGGCGACGGCGGCGTCAGCGGCGGCACCGACGCCGACGCCGACGGCGACGACGGCGTCTGTAAAACCAGCGCCGGCGAAACCAGCGCCGGCGAAACCAGCCGCTGGCGAAACCAGCGGGGCGAAACCAGCGGGGCGAAACCAGCGCCCGCGAAAACAGCCGTCGGCGAAACCAGCGGGGCGAAACAAGCGCTGGCGAAATCAGCGCCGGCGAAACCAGCTCATGCCGCAGCCATCCTGGCTCGCGGTAACTTGTCACCCGTGCCACGGAGGCCTGCTCCTCCTTCTGTTCCTCCTCCTGCCCCTTGTTCTGTTCGTCCCCACTCCCCCTCCTCTTCTCCTCCTCCACCTCCCCCCTCGTCCATCCTTGACGTCTTCCCCTTCACAATTTCACAATATGAATGCTACTCTCCCCTGGTGACGTCCGGGAGATATTCGGCCCGCCTCCGCGTGCTGGTTATTTACACTGGATTCCCGGGAAATGGGTTTTCGCTTGGGTTTTCGTTTTCGAAATGCTGCTCTCGCTGAAGCGCTGGCCTCGTTTTCGGGTTACCGCTCTTTCCGAATCGTGGTCCCGTTGCAGCGCTGGCCTCATTTCCGCGCTTCCGCTCGTTCCGAATCGTGCTTCGGCTGCAGCGCTGGCGTCATCATTTCCAGCGCCATGCCACGGCATGGTTTTCGGTCCTTCCAAATAGGCCCCCAAATCTAGAAACTGCTCCCCCCCGAAAAAAAAACATCGGAAGTGATTGCACATTCGGTGCCGATTCGTTGATTTATTGGGCCGCGGAAGTCCCCCCCACTTTGGGCCGTCGCCACGCCATGCTATGTCATGCTACGCGTTGATCTTCAACACCATGCTATGCCATGTAATGCTATGCCATGCTACGACATCCGACTGTGAGAATAGAGAGGAGATCTACGCCATAGTAACGGATGGCAGGAAGGGGTAGGACGTCAGATATGAGGAGGAGAAGGGGAGAGAGGCTGAAGAGGAGGGGGGAAGGCAAGCTAGGTGCGCTCGCGCCTCATCTGACATCCTATCCCTCCCACTCCTTCCCATGACGTTTTTTCTTTTCTCCAAACTGTCCGCGGACGCGTGTCATAGCCGACCTGCATCTCCAGCCAAACGACCACATCGGGTTATGCGCAATCGGGAAAGGGGAACTGCGTGCACAGGAGGAGGAGCAGGAGGCGGGTGAGCAGGAGGATGAGCGGGAGTACAAGAACGAGGACGAAAAGCAGCAGCAGGACCTGGAGTGGAAGGAGCGGGAGGAACAGGAGGACCATTGGACGGCGGAGGAGGGAAGATGAGGGTGGCGACAACAATGAAGATATAGTCGGATCCAAAACAGTGGCCCGCGCTTGCGCGAGAGCGCCATTCTGAACGACGGGAGCAATGCGCTGATCCGAGCATGAGGCCCACGCTACAGAGGGAACACGGTTTTCAAACATTGGAACCAATCATATTGACAAAAGTCATGAGGAACACCAGTGTTCGAAATCTTGTGTGCAAATTACTCGAGACTTACCCAACCCCTTCTCCACGGGATGTGAATATTTCTATGAGCGCTCCATACGAAAGACCACATCGCCAGATATGCACGATCTGCGCTGCCGCACCTCCGCCGTGCCTCCCAGTCGCCCACGAAAGTGGCGACAGCTGCGCGGTTCGTAGCCTGCAACGGAGCCGCGAGTGCTCGGCTGGGTCCGCGTGGCCCCCGACTCCACTGTGAACCTCCCAGGAGCCCACGAAAGTGGCGATAGCTGCGCGGTTTGTAGCCTCCTACAGAGCCGCGAGAGCTTGGGTACTCCCCTACTCCGCCGTGCCTCCCAGGAGCCCACGAAAGTGGCGTTATTTGCGTAGTTGGCAGCCGCCCTTGGAGCTGCGAGGGCTCGGGTACTCCCTTACTCCGCCTTGCCTCCCAGGAGCCCACGAAAGTGACGATATTTGCAATTTTCAGCAACCCAGGGAGCTTCGAGGTCTTTGGTACTCCCCTACTCCTGTGTGCCTCCCAGGAGCCCACGAAAGTGGCGACAGTTGCGCGGTTCGCAGACTCCAATGAGCAGCGCAGGAGAAACAACACGCGGAGAGGGCCCGGTGTCTTCGGTACGGAGTCAGGGGAAAGGGGAGTGGTATTCATATTGTGCAGCTGTGGTGGAGGAGGAGGAGGAGGAGGAGGATTTGGATTGCGCGGTCGCTGAAGCCGAGGCCTGTCGACAGTCGGCGGTGCTACAACTAGCAGAATATCTAGTCTGACTAAAACGTTCTGCACGGACACCAAGTAGATAAGTGCACTACAGTACGATGAGACCCCCGCGACAGAGCGGGCGGAACGCGTCGAACCGAAGCAAGGAGTCCCAACCCTCCCAAACCTCGTCCTCACTGCCTTCTCTGTAGAGTAGGCGACTACACGGCAAACGCTAAAGGGGGCGACACATGATGACGTGCTACGCCTCGTCCAGAGCACTCGGGGGGGAGGGATGGAGGGAGGCAGGGAACATAATAAGCCGAGGAGGAAGAGTAAGACTGGGACACAGTACCCGAAACTCCAGCTCGGAAGAGCCTGCGCGACGGGCGACGGAACGCGGCGATGCCGCCGTGGCCAGGCATAAAGCAGCGACACAGGACGCGGACGGTCCTGGTCTGCTGCTCTCAGCGTGACCCTGGTCACCAGTGCAACAATCGATCGACGATACAACATGCATCTGTGAAAGCGGAGGCATCTTCGCAAACGCGCAGCACGCATAGAGATACACAGCAGCACGATTATCTACACGCAATCGTCGGAGGCTGTGCCGAGCAGAATGGGTACCAGAGGAGCCTCTAGGGCCCCACAGAGCCCCACGAGGTGGATCTAGCGCGGCCCGCCGCCCTACAGCCTCATCCACCAGGCGCCGCAGCTCGCACGCCCAGAGCCGGTAGTCCTGCACCAGCGAGGAGTCCGGGTCCGCCTTCTCCATCCAGGACAGCACGGACTCCATCCTGGACAGGTTCTGCGTAAGGAGGCGGACCGCGCCGTCCGCCGCCTGGATTTCCGTTGCAGGCTTCACGATTTGCACTCTCTGCATCGCCGACCGCCAAGGCGAAGCAGCCTCAGGCGGAGCAGCCTGTGGGGCAGCGTCGGCAGGATCGGCTCACAGAGTATCGGCCTGCGCCGGCGCTGCCAGCGGCTGTGCATCCGGAGGCGCGGCCGGTCGACGCACAGCGTCGGTAATCTTACCTTGGCGCAGCTCTGGAAGGGGCTCGAAGGGGCGGGCGCCGTCACTGCATCCGTGGTAGCCGCGGCGACCACCTCGTCGAGCGCCTCGTCGACGCGCGGCTGGCCCCCTCCGGCACCGCTCGGGTACGCGAAGTCCTCGGAGTCGGCCGTGGAGGACGAGTCGCTCTCACCGGACTCGACCTCCTGCTCCTCCTGGCTATCAGGCTGCGCGGCCTGCCGGGCCGCGGAGCCCGGGAGCAGATCGCCCGGCTCCGCAGCCGCCGGGCTGGCGGCACTCGGCGCCTCGGCGGCAGCAGTACCAGCAGGTAGAGGAACACCAGCACGGACATGATGAACATCCACAGGAGGACCCTTGCCAGCCAGAGTGACCTCTCCACGGTCTCGTCGTCGTCGTCGTCGTCGTCGTCGTCGTCGTCGTCGTCGTCGTCGTCGTCGTCGTCGAATAGTCTGCGCACAAGGAAGATGCTCGGCGTGGGCAGCTCGCGCCACCGTGGCCACGTCCCAGCAACGAACGGGGCGGCGGTGGCGGGCGGCCCAGCCCAGCCGGCGGAGTGCCGGCTGGATCTCGTCCAAGGCCGTGGCGCGGCTGCCCGCACACGCCTAAGCGCAGGCGGGGGCGGCGCGCATGAGGCTCGGCCGTGTAGCAGGTTGGAGCCCGAATCGGTACAGCCTGAAGCCCCCGCCGGGCGAGCCTTGAGGAGGAGGAGGAGGAAGAAGGAGGGAGGGAGGGAGGGAGATAGAGAGCCAGAGAGAGAGAGAGGGAGAGAGATAAACAATCTCCCCTAAATGGATGGGGGGCCATCAGGCGGCGGCTCGCCGAGGGGGGAAGTGAGAGGGGGCAGGTCTCATAGGGCGGCGGGGCTTCTCAGAAGCCCTCTGCTGAGAAGCCCGCTGTGGTTTTCGAAGAAGGCTCAAAGAGCTGCTCCGAACGCTGGAGGCCCTCTGAGCCTTCTGAGAATGCTCGCCCCCTCTTGTTGTCCCCCATGGGTAAGCTGCCGAGTTCGGTGGGTTCGCGTCGTGTCGACCAGCGGCGACCCCGCCGCCGGCGTTCAACACGATCCCCGCGGTGCCCGGTGTCAGGAACCCACGCTGGAGTCGACACGACGCGAACCTGTTGCCGAGTAAGAGGCAAGGGCAGGGAGGCCGTCTCAC